CTTGAAAAAAGTTTTTCTCGATGCCTAACAAAAGTTTGCTTTTTTTTTAAATTGTTCCTTTTAATTATTCAGAAATTTGTTTATGTGCATTCAGAAAATACTTTAGTTCTTAATAATTTTTTTGAAACTTCGCAAAATTTCCATCTTAGATTTTTTTTGTTTCTCGAAATTTAATTGTACAGATACCTAGTTTTAAAAATTATTTTAGAATTAATGTTATTTTCAATATGAATAGAATATACAAAATTGTTTAGAACAATGAGCGGCTAATATTTCCTTAATTTTATATACATACATTGAATTTTATTACATGCCATGCAATCAAATTTCTAAAAATGTGACCTCGATTTTTCTTGTATTTCTTCTCTTTCAAAACAAAAGAAACTAAGTTTTCCATAAACTTAGGCTATTTAAAAAACTAATATTTTTTCAATTACATGTAAAAAAATATTCATTGCAATAAACAATTATTGATAATTTTTTTTAATATAAATTAATTTCTTATTATAAGCTGTGTGATCAAATATCTGAAAATGTTACCGAGATTTCCCTCGTGTTTGACATTAAGGAAGACGAAACATAATAACAGATAATGTAGCCTTTTGTTTTCAAATCCTAGTGTTTTTTTCTTCTTTTTTCTAATTAATGCCTAGATTAAAAGTTTGAGTTTGATTTTATTCACACTCAGCAAATAATTTAGTAATTATATTTGTGATATTACTATCCTTTTTCAGATTTCAGAAAATTTTAGATTTTAATAGTTTTTTTTTTTTTGGACAATTTGCATAGCTTTTTTTAATATTAAAATTAACTCAAAAACTATTTTAGAACTGATTTTATTTTCAATATGCATAAAAGTAGAAAAAAAAACGTTTACTAACTATTATTATATTAATTATCTTTTTAATTCAAGATAAATTATTGTTATTATTAATACATTTTGCCGTGTAATCGAATTTCTGGAAAAGTTGCCTTTATTTTTCTTGTATTTTTTATTCGAAACAAACAAGTCGACAAATTCATTGACCGAGCTCGAGTTCATCTCGGTCACGGTTAAAATGTTTTTTTGAGGTCAAGTGTGGGAGATTCGCTCGAATATTATGCATATATATCACTTCATTCGAATTCTACTCGAAATTGGTTTCTCCTTCTCATTCAATATGATCTCAGAAGCCAATTTTTTTAGGGATATTGATCTATCTGTATTATCTGTCTTCGTTATCTTGTTTCACCTATAAGGTGCCTATGTTAAAGAAAAGGTCAATTCATTATGCTCTATAAAGTTCTTTTTTTCTTTTTCTTTTCTTTTTTTGAACAAAATAGTATGACGAAATATTTTTTTTTTAATTTTGACGAAATTCGTTTCCTTGAAAAAGGGATAGCTATTTCGTCACTTTGACGAAATTTTTTGCTCGGGATATATATCAGGAAACAGTTTTGTCAAAAACGAGAAAAGTTTCTTAATATTTGAATATTCATTTTTTACAGTGCATCATTTTTGTAAATATTTTTAACTTATAAGATAAGCACCCTGAGAAAGTATTACTATTTAATACCTAATATATGATACAATACCCTTGTAGGATATATAATTTTAAAAAATATAAAAATTTAAGAAATTTTTTTTACACTCTTCAAATTAATCTTTATATCTAATCTTATTTTTTTTTCTTCAAAATATCTAGTTACATTTGTATGAATGTTTAATGAATTAAGTATAGACTGCAATTGCTTGAATGGTGTGGTTAAATTTATATAATTTTCAAAGAGAACTGCCTATCAACACAATTTTGTGTATTAATTTTGGATTGCGATCTGAAAGGGATCCTTTTTTTTCATGATTCTTATTAACAATGTTATTTTTGTCTTCTGAAAATAATGTTCTGCAAATTATTTCTAACAGAGAATCTAATTAAGATGGATCAAATGTATCTAAATATATTTTGTCAAATGTGGGTCAAACGGACTAAATATGTCTAAATCAAATATATCTAAATGCATTTAAAAATTTCATATGCATTTTTATTGCATGTGGAATAGGGGAGAAAGATTTTTTCGAATTTCGGGGGATGTCCCCATAAACCTTGAGGGGAAAGGGCACTCCTGATACAGACTATAGGTTTATGAACTTTCTACTTACTAGCATACTGCGGTGACCAAATCACACGTACACTTCGATAACACAAACTCACCTCTTCGTGGCTCCACATTGTCCTTCACCTGAGTTTAACTCTTCGTGCCTTTAGGTTGGTACTATGTCAATATGAAGTCGAAAGCAGTATTGCTCTGGCTCTTCAATATAAGCATTTCAGTGCAAGAGAGCGAATCGTCGGCTTGTTGATCCACCTGCACAAACTCTCCGCTTCGCTCAGATCAACAGAAAATCTATAAAAGAAAGGTTCGTTTTGATAGTTTATATTTCTAATTATCAGTGTAATTTTTAATTATCGGAGTAATTAACCTAGTTGTTGTAGTGCTCAATAACGCTTTTATACCATTAAAGAAGGTTCAAATTCGTATCATGTGTTTTTTATGAGATAAAAGGAAAAAACTTTAAAAGTTTCGTTTCAATATTTTGAAATTATAGGGATAATTTATTCACTAATTAGCCTGATTGACAGAAATGCTAAATAAAACATTGTAACTAAGAAGTCTCAAATTTTGGCCGAAACAGAACAGACCTATATAAACGCGTATAACTTCTATAAACGCTTATGGCTTCGAAACTATTCGTCTGATCGTCTCGTCTCTCATTCAATTAAGTATGAAAAATCACATTGTTACAAAACCTTACTTGTCTGTCTAGAAGAAATTCAGTTCTCTCCCCCCCCCCCTCTCCAAATTACTCTCAAAAAAAGGGGAAGAGTACATAATAAAGTAAAGAAGTTTCCAGGAATCATTAATCTAAACCACTAGTTACATGTTTATTTTTAACTTTTTCAGCCAATTGAAATAATGATATTCGCCACCTTTTGTAATCTACGCTTTTCATTTTAGTTAATAATTGTCTTTTGAATTTGGACAGAAGTATTCGATAACAGATTGTGGCAGTAACTACCACTACACTACGTTTATTAAACATCAATTTACTAGTATATAAGACATGCTAACTCCATTCAATCTCGAGGTACTTTTTGATAGATAAAGGTTGGCATTGTCGATAACGCTATCACCACATTGTTGACCTGCGTTGTTGTTATCACCACTAATTTGTGAGTTGACTTCCTGTTTGAACTTATTACAACTCTCATGACAAACGCTCAAAATTCGGTGAACTTAATACAGCTCTCACCAAAAGTGCTCAAAATCCGGTGAACTTAACACAGCTCTCACAGTCTTTCTCAAATATTAGTGGTATCCGTTCATCGAATTCTATCCCTGATAAAATTCTGGTGAAGGTTGGCATTAGGAAGGAAGGTTGGATAGATGAAGGTTGGAATTATGGATAACGTTATCCCCGCAAGATAAAGAAGAAAAAAACCCATAGAAGTTTTATTTTGTTATTTGAAATTATCTGGCAAGTTAAGTGCAGTACCGTAGCTGACAGTAATACTACAAATAAGATACTGCTATCAAGACAGAAGTCTCCAATTTCGGACAATGAATTTAATGATTGTCCGGTTAGTTAAGGATAATTACCTTAAATGGCTTTGAAATAACACATTCCAAGCAAAACAGAAGTCTCAAGTTTGAATTATATGTTTCTTATTAAATTATATGCATAAATTGGAAATCGTGACATTTTAAAATTTAGTAAATATATTAAATGGACTAAAAAATACTTTCTCCTTATTTATCGCTGAATGTTTGGCATAGCATAGCCGATTCCGGCTCGGCTTTTGTGACATTAAGGCCATTAAGCAGAGAAGACATGAGTTCGTGCAGTTGAACTAGAAAATGGAGCCACGAAGCGGTGGGTTTGCGTAGGTGGACCAACTGGCAAGTCTGAGAAATATTTCCAATTCCCCGATTTCCACCTAAATCACTAATTACAAGGATCCTGAGCAATTCCGCCGAAAGCAGCAGGAATCAACATAGTACTACTAGATGGTGAGTTCAACTGAAAGCAATGCGGAATCACGAAGCGGGGAGTTCTTCTAGGCGGACCCTGTTTGATTGGAGTCCATTAGTAAATTTATAAAATGCTGCTCACCAACCCATTAAGTCGATATTTGCCCCCAAAACAGAAAAAATTTTGATCATTATATTTTATTGGGTACCTGCCAAAGACATCATTGTGTGTCCTGATTGGATGCTGAATAATAAGCAAATGCCATGAATATATTTTTTCACACTTTACGTACCCATTTTTCAACTTGTACAAAATTTAACCTCTTTAAATGTGAGTTAAAAAATTTATTTTTTCTACCTCTGTTTATATCAATTTTTTTTCCTGACGGTTCATGGTGTTTTTCATCAAGACCGGCTTGCAAAGGTCAGAGGGTTTTTCCATTGCGTTTTTCAGGAGCACATATTCCTTACCTATCCGGTTTTCAGTAGCATCCGAAATGAAGAGCCATTTACATTTTATACGATTTTTCTCTCATGCGAATAAATTGTATTCAGTGAGAACGGCCCTTTAGGTTTTGACCACTTTAATGCAGAAAAAAATCCGAAGCGGGGGAGCCATCCCCTCCGCAGAGGATCAAAATTGTGATGGCATGTCTTCGGATCATCCTCCGGGATGTTTCCCAGACCGTCGCCAATGGCCCATTGTTTAGCTCTAGTGCGACGTAAATTAACAACAACAACAACAGCAGAAAAAAATCGCTGATGCGAATTCAGAGATTTGTCTCCGTACTACGTATGTTTGTATTTAGTGAGAACGATGCCCAAGATGCAATTTTCTCCTCCGAACCTTTGCGCGAATCAGCTTCCGAGTTTTTAGTTGACAGCAAAAACAAATAAAAATCTGATTGGCTTTTAGACGCCATTCGGTAGAGCTCTGTACAGTAGGAATGATCCTTAATATTTCAAAACAATTTTTGAAATTTTAGTGATTAAAATTACCTAGCAATGTTCTGTTAATGAAAATATTCTGCGTTTTAACATTGATATTTAATTTGTTTTCAGTCTCAACTAATAAAAGCATAAAAACTCCAATGAGAGATGCGCATGTCTTTACGGATTACGCTATGTGCCACACCTTAATAGCGCCATCTATTTCTAAATAAAAATTTTCAGAAGAAGAAACTGACTCCCTTGGATGGCAATTACATTTTGTAAATAAACCGAATTAAGGTAAAGTTTTTGCTTTGAAATATGTATTTTTTATTGTTGTAACACTTTAATAATTCCTATTTTTTATTATAATTGTTCCAAAATACTATAACGATTAGTTTAAAATGTTTGCAAAACAACTGTTTCCGTCTTTCTCGAACTACGCGGCACTGGTTGGAAAAAACATCCGCTCTACTATTATTAACAATCGCATAACACCTAACGTTGATTTGGTAAGGTATGCCGCTCGAAAAGGAACTAGAGCTGCAAACCTTGCAGCAAAAAAGGCTAGAAAACTCAAAGAAGCTGGTAAACCACAACCCATCCCCAAATATCTCCAGCGAAAAATCAAGATATCTGCAGAATTGGAAAGAAAAAGATGCGTCGATGAAAATTGGTTGGAAACAAATCCAATTGATAACGTTTGGAACATGAAATTGTACAGAGGCAAGCCGTATTCTGTGTCTGAAGCTATTGAAATGTTCAGGGAGCTTCATCAGCCTGAAATGCTGGATGACTCTAAGGCATTACTTTACGCAAATATCGAATTGGATTTAAAACTTAAGAAAAAGGATAAGTACCTTGAAGAGTTGAGTGGAAGCGTAACTTTTCCTCACCAGTTTGATGCGTTTCGTAACAACCGTATCATCGTATTGTGTAAAAGCACAGAAGACCAAACTTTAGCTACAGATGCAGGTGCTGTATATTCTGGGTCGCAAACACTGATAAAACAAATATTATCAGGTACTATATCAAGTGATGAGTACGATTATGTAATATGTCATCCGGATATGCTTAAGGAAGCAAATACTCTGCGAGGGATTTTGGGTAAAAAGTTTCCCAACACTTTTAATGGTCTATTAAGGTTAGATATTGAGCCTGCTGTTAAAAATTTCTTAAAAGCTATTGACTTTAAGCTGAAAAGAAGTAATGTTGAAGTTGATTTCGGTTGGGTGGATATTTGCTTTGGGCGAATAAATATGCCAACAGAAGAGTTGGAGAAAAATTTAAAACACTGTTTAGAAATCATTGAAAAATTAAAGCCTGCTGGTACGCAAGAGCAGTTGTTTATTATTCGAACATTGCTGTTTTGTGAGAAATCTAGAGAAAAGTTTAAAATACCCCATTGGAACTATTTAACCAATTATCCTGAAAATGGTGTGATTGTGGAAGAAACTGCTGATGAGGATGAAATTAATGAGAGCAAAACCAACTAATGTTTTTAATCAAATCCAATTGTGTTATTCAAAACTAATCTGTTTAGTTGTTTTCATAGATAATGGTGAAATATTTTCTTGTTTTTTTAGTGAACACAATAAAAAAAAAATTGTTTAGTTTTAAAATGTTAATTTAGGATTAGTATTGTAAAATGTTTAGGCTTCTAATTGAATAACTGTTAAAAACCTTATAATTGCACAAAATAAAAGAGTGAACATCATAATAACTATTGATTTAATTGTTGAATTTTTATGTACAAGGAACTTGTTCTTGTTGAATTTTTATGCACAAGAAGCTTTTTCTGAATAGATATGCCTATTTTCGATGAATTCGAATTCTGGACTATTAAAATATCTGATTAATAATTCAAAATCATCTTGACTATAATTCAATGATTTAATCAAAAATGACTGAACATTACTTTTACATCTCTGGATAATTAAATTTTATTGTACAAAGATTTTTCGATTTATAAATTTGCATAAATGAGTTCTTTAGATGTAGCTAAATATACAAAAAGTAAAGTTTATAATAGGTCCAAATCTTCAATTGCTTCCTTACCTAAACTATGGGAATTATAGTCTCAAAACTGTCGCTATATTATTTCTCCCCTAATCCCGATTTAAGGGTCGAAGATCCCCATCTTTCTAAAAAAAAAAAACTTATTCAATCTGAAAAAGTCTGTTTTTGTATCTGATTTCATAACTTGCAATTTCTACAGCACTAATTTATAAACACATTTAAAGTTGGCCAATCAAATAATTAGGATTTAGTTTTAGTATGAAAAAATTTGATCATTAGATCAAAGTTATTTGTGATGCATCAACAACAAAATTATGTCATTTCAAAAGTTTAAAAGGTATCTGTGAAATTTATTTTGTGATTTATTTATTTTTATCTGGTTTTCAACAGATAATAAGGATAATTTCATATTTCATTTTCAATAAATTTAAATTGGCCATTTGCATGTATTATGTATATTTTTTTAAAAAACAATATTTAATGTTGTATTATAGTTTTACTATTTTGTATTTAAGAATATTTCAGTTTATTAAATTTAACTAAATAAAATCTAAAGTTAATAAAATGTCTTTAAAAATTTAATTTTATATTTTTTTAAATCGAATTAATTGGATTTAAGTTTTAAGCAAATCAACCGGATTTTTTTAAAAAGAAATTCATAAATCCTGGTTTAAATTTGGAAAGTTTCAAAAACATGTGTTTATTTCAAAAAATATTTATTCTAAGCATTGTATGCATATCAAATTATTTATCATGAAGGTTTTACTTGCATTCAAAATGGTAATAGAATGATTTTTTTTGTTACTTTTTGATTTGATGGATCAGGGGTGATTGTACTCCGAGGGTACCCCGGAATTCCGTGTTTTCCATGTCATTTTTTGGGGTTCAAAAACTAGAAGAAGTGAATGTCATAGAATTCCGCATAACTCAACATCATTGGTTCCACAAAACAAGACTAATAATCCAACAAAATTTTGCTGAATCTTGTTATCAAGATGTTTTCATACATCCTTCCGTCAATTACTTAAAGAATTACGTCCTTCACGATTCTTCTGGCTATTTGATTGTTTTGGTTTGACAGGTTTTTGCTATTTTGAATATTTGGTACAGCAACAGAATCAGCTAATACTGCGAATCTTATTCAAGCGATTTTAATATCAATTTTCGTATTTACCTGATATAAAAACTGCGCATTGTGATTCGTATTCTCTTGATTTAAATATCCAATGTCGTGATTTGTATTTAAGCGCTCTTAAAGCCCAATATCGCGATTCGTGGTCACACGCTTTTAAAATCCAATTTTGCAATTCGTATTCTCACATTTGTAATATCAAACATGGATTTTAGAATTTTTATGTGAGATTTAAAAACTATGCATTGCGATTCGTATTCATGCGATCTAGTGATTCGCATTAGAACGATTTTAAAATTCAATATCGCAAATTGTATCTTTGCCTTTTAAAATTCTAATATCGCAATTGATATTCACACAATTTTTTTCTTTTAAATCTAATATCGTGACTCTTGTTAGAAGTAAGCTTCTTCTTGAATTAGTTACTCTAAAGGTGTGATATATTTTGCATTAGAAAATAATTTAATTATAAATGTTAATTCAAAAAATTATGTTAAATATGAAAGATATATGATATATAAATTGATATTGGTTTTTTGCACATAAAATTTTCAGGGCTTTTCACTTTGTGAAAGTGGAATGTCAGTAAAAATCTGCCAACTTTTTTTTAAAAAAGATTATTTTCTTTATTATTTAAACACTAAATAAAATGAATGTTTGCAAATTCCAGAAAATTTATAATTAATAAAATTTATTTCATAGAGAGTAGCATATAACAAGTTACAATATGTATAACATTTTACGAGAAAAGAACATATTAAAGTAGGATAGTATTATTATTTTATAGATTTTTCATTTTAACTCCTCAACGCATATCTATCTTCAGTCAAAACATCAAAATCAGATGTTTTAATATTATGGAAGTTTAGCATTTAAATAAATATATAAAATGAAAGGATATAGATTTTAAAAGATGAAGCTTAGTTTGATTTCTATTGTTTCATAAAAATAGTTTTTGAAATGAATGAATATTTAACTGTCACAAGGAAACGTTTGAAATAAGTTTTAAGTTCTAAGATTTAAACACTTTATTTAAGCAGGCTTTTTCATTAAATTCTAAAATAAAAGAAAGCACCACATGCTGAATAAATCTGCTTGAAATTAACGAAACAGATTTTTAAAAAAGTTATACAGACTCAATATTTGCATAAAGAAGTGAAACTTTTTTATTAGTATATAAATAGAATTAAGGGCTAATAAAAATTTCAAAATAAAAACTTAAGAATTAAGCAGAGTTTTTTAATAAATGGTAGTATTAAATTACAACAATTAATGGTAATATTAAGTTAAATGGTAATATTAATTGATCTTGAATTTCAAAATTAAATTTACTATAGGTGCAAGCTGAATTAAAAACCATTCAATTTAGATCCATTATTTGAGAATCTTTGTCCGCGAGGTTTCAAAGTTTTCTATAATTCTATTTCGTATTTGTCAGTTCCCCAAATTCCTTTACCCTCTTTTTGCAATCGTCTAAATTTAGAACATTGCTTCTAAGGATAATAATGTTAGATGGAATAGTTTCTGTTTGATTTTTAAATGAAGAAAGCAGTTTATCAGGTGAAAAAACGATATTCCAAGTTTGAAAAAGAAATAATACAGAAATCGCTCTATGCTTAAAATGACAAACATAGCAGAATTAAATAGCCATATGTCACAGGCGGCGTTGCCAAAAAACCTAATTTACGCACTCAAAATTTCTCTTTACAAATTGTAGTTTACAATTCCACCCAGCTAACTGAAAAATATTGATTTTGGTTTGCATGTTGATTTATTTTTTTTGTCATCCAATAATCTAAGTGTTTTAAGCTCTTTTCTTTTAAATTATCATATACTGCAACTGCTAAGATAAAAACTAACTTCTCTTCGTATAGTCTTTTTTTTTATGAATTAAAATTAAATAACAAATAGCTTTGTTCCACAAGTGTTATTTCTGATTTGGTATTTAGGAAATATTTTTGTTTAGCTGCAATTAAAATGAAATAACAAAGATTAGTATCTTTGTCTAAGAACCAGAATAAGGAAAACTATATGTTAGGAAGTAAAAATAACTTTAACTGTAGTGGTAAAAATAACTTTAATGTATCCACTTTGAAAAAATATCCTATCACACTCCTTTTGTGACGATCTGCATGACTTCCGTTTCTGTAACAAGTAAGTTTTTACATGATGGGGTTGTTAACCCCATGCTAAACTCCCATTCTTGAAGGCCAGGGTGTTACTCTTAGTCTGATGTCTCCTCACTGATCTGTCCAGCTTAGCAACTATGCCATCTGTTGTGTAGCTACTGATAGGACATCAGTAGCTACACAACAGATGGCATAGCTCAGTGATTCCTCCATAATACTTTTAAAATTTTAGCAAAGTAATGAATGTGTTGCCTTTTTAAAAGTCATGTTACATAGGTTAGCATCATTTCTCACGAATGGTTTACTTACATTTCAATTATTATTTAAAATATTTTTCTGCGTGCTTTTCTTTTTTCCTCTGTCAATTACGTTTTCCAAATTTGACATAGCGTTAAATGTTTTCTTTTGAATTAGATGCAGATTCAATTTAATCATCTCTAACTTGGTTTCTTCATTTGCGATTACATTTTTGTAAAATTCTTATGTAGTTCTATCACCTTTTCCATCTGATATTCTTGCTGATAATCACCACATACTGCAACTTTATTGTTCACACTCCACAGTAACTCTTCTCATAAGCATCATTCAATGCTGGTTCCATGATATGGATGGCAGATGTGGTCAGATTTTTCAAACTAAAAATTGGGACATATCATTTACTGGGTGAGGGGGAAGGTGATGTAAGAGTTGTAGAGAAAGAAGGAGAGTTTCCATACGTAATTGAATGAGAAAAATTCTGATTTCATGCAAGAAATAAATTTTACACGAGGCGCCTATCTTCCCCCACCTGCAAACAATGCAAATGTTTTTAAAGTTTGAACTTTTTAAATTTAACTAAGAAAATAGTATTTTGAACAATGAAAAATGTAAATTGAAAAATTATTTAATTGTGGTGGTAATTACAGAATTCTACAACATAAAATTTTCAACAAATTTAAAAGAAATCAAAGTTTTTATTATTCATATACAGGTATCATCCTTGCAGTTTGAAGCAATGTTTAATAACAAATTTTTATTGCCTCTCAGAACATCTATAAACTCCCTGCATGAATATTAAAAATATATCTTAGTTAGTAATAAAGATTTTAAAGTTTCTATAGATAGTTAAGTTTTTTAAACTAAATCTAGTTTACATATGTTTTTCTTGTTTGGTGGAACTTTAAAAGTAAAACTGGGACTCGGGCAGGACTTAAAATAAAGTTCGGGTCATCTGGCTGCTGGGAGTGTGAAGAAAAAAAATTGAGATGTATGGGCACTTTAGTATAGGTAAAATACTTCTTTTAAACCATGGAGAGCATTTTTATATTACAATTTTAAAGAATAAAAATGTAAATAACTATACAAGAACAAATCTAGCAATGGCCAAATTGTCTGATAGCTTTTCTTTTTTTCACATTGATAGATCTAACAAAATGCATGAAACTTATCAAGTTACAGTTTGTTTGTTTTTTACCATTTGTTTAAGAGTTATATATTTTTTAAATGGCACTAATTTTTTACAATTTTTAAACATCCATAACTGGAGAACTAATTGACCTAGAGAGCTAATTTTGTTCAGTTTTTAATGCAATTTATTAAATATATAATATGGCTAAATTATTATAAAAATTAGATTTTTAAAAAATAATAAGTTTTACATTTAAAAAACATTTAGAATCCATTTTTTTTTTTATTCTTCTGAAAAAAATATTTTTTATTTTATCTCCTTTTTAGCAATGTGTGTGCCAAATTTTCAAAATAGTATTCCTGTTTGGTCATAAAAAATATTTTCTAATTTAACTATGACAAGTAATGCGATAAAAACCACATTATGTGTCACTTTAAGAACAATTTTAGTAAGAAAAAAGTGGCGAGTTCATTTTACTAAATGATTTGTATCAATATTTACCAAAAAGAATTTTTTTTTATTATTATTATCCTGTTGGAATACCATCTTAATTAGGCGCAAACATTGCTTTAAAAAAGCTAAATTAAAAATTTGATTCTTAGTTTTTTTGAAAAAAATTACTATTTAAATTAATTGCGCAGTATTATACATTTTATAAAATTCCATTAAAAAGTGAACAAAATTTAGCTCTCTGGGCAATCAGTTTTTAAGTTATAGCTGTGATATAAATTTTTTAATTTTCAAAATTGCATAACTCGGAAACAAATAATTAAAAACATCTGAAGCTTGGTATTTTT